AATTGTAACAGTAAATTGCTGGCACTTGAATTTAAGGACTTGCAGTTACCAAATAATCTCAGACAAGTCATTAGTGCTGTAAGCTTACTGCTTTGGTAAATTTGTCCACTGGTTCTTATTCTTGCTTTATCCGCAATGTTCTAGCATTTCAAGAGTCCATTGTTGGGCTATGCTCTTCGTTTTTTTTTATAAATTGGTTGTTTACGCTGTTGATTCTTGTCATTTTGTTTCTTGGTCAAAGTCTGCAATTTCTGTATTGGACTCTTTTGAAGAGTTGATGACATTATTTTACTTTTGCTCTCTTCAGCACATCCTTTGATGCATAATTGATTTTTCTATATGGTGTTATTTTGTGCAATAGGAGAACTATTGGTAACTAAAGAAGCACAATCAAGGCAGCAAATATATGATCAACTTGCATCAAGTGGCCAGCTGTCTCCTGCTCTTCTGGTCGTGAAGGAACATCTTCCATCTAGAGATGTGTGTATGAGGATAAATGTTGATGCCACTAGAGTTGGAAACGTAGCTAGATTCATCAACCATTCTTGTGATGGTGGGAACCTTGATACAATAATATTGCGAAGCTCTGGATCTGTACTTCCTCGCATATGCTTTTTTTCTTCCAGAGATATAAAAAACAATGAAGAGCTTAAATTTAGTTATGGGGATATCAGGCTTAAGAAGCAAGGACTGCCTTGTTTCTGTGGTAGCTCTTGTTGCTTTGGTGTCCTGCCTTCAGAAAATACATGACTTGGGACAGGTAAAGAACATGTTAGCATACAATATGGTAGCATAGTACTCCATATGGTAGTTTGATGCTTTTTGATGTTAGAATGCTTCTATTCCATGAACTTTTGAGATAAAATAGTGTGATAATGTGTTCAGTTAATGACTTCACAAGTCTTAGTGACATCTGTTATTTGATTTGGACCCCAGAACACACACAGACATGTATTCCCCTTCTGTTTGAAATCAAGTTGCTACTTTCCCCCTTAAGGCCTCACAGAAGAATATCCTAATTTATGTTATTAGGGCACATTTACATTCCTTCATATGTTGAGATGCAAGGTAGCTGCTATTTTTCTAAAAATTCTTTTTCTGGTTCATTTTTATGCAATTTTTTGACAAGACCACATTTTAGATATCACCTAGGGCCTCACAGAAAATAGAATTATATAATTAGGACAAACCTTGTGGAAAATCATTGTGATTTGGCCTTAAGAAACATTAGAGCAGGCCAATGATTACTAGCCCAAGTTAATAAAAATAAGGAAATGCAGCACAAAAGACACTCTTATTATGTATATTTTGATTCCATAGACATTCTTATTATTTATATTTTGAATAGTATAAAATAGCGCACACCCTATTTAAAATTCACAACTTGAATACTTTTCCTCCTCCAACACTGTTGAAGGGCACAAAAAGAGAGAGCACAAGAATGCTCAGTTGAGACTGGAGTGTGAAGAAGAAAATCAAGAGAAGAAATGGCAGAGAGCAAGGAAATAGATGTTAAGCTTGTTGCAAACAAGTTCAAGGAGAGGCAGTAATTGAAGGCAGCAGCTCAATCAGACCAGGACTAGAAGGAGCGATCACCAGTATCCCTCTTTAAGCCAGGGGAATTGAGTTCCTGGTCCTTTTATATGGCTGGTATTGCTGAGTTCATGGCCACCCTTCTGTTCTTGTACATCACTGTCTTGACTGTTCTGGGGGTTGGCAGTACACCAAACAAGTCAGCTTCTGTTGGTATTCAATGGATTGCTTGGGCTTTCAGCAATATGATCTTTGCACTTGTCTACTGCACTGCTGGTGTCTCAGGTTTGTCTCCACATCTCCATCTTTGTCTTCCTTTTCATTTCCTATTCCATCAGCCGTTTAATTCTTGTTGCTTTAATTCTTCCTTCTTAGCATGTCTACTATCCTGGACAGTAGTTTCTTCCTGCATGTTTTGGGAGAAAATTTTCATTTAGTTTGGGGTGCCATGTTTCCCATCTATCCACAGTTGATTAAGGTGTAGCACTGGTTTTTCTGCTTTCATATTATTGCCATGCTCTCTAGACTCAGAATGGTTACTATATCTATTCTGGTGTGCGCCAGTTTTTGGTGATTTTAATGTGGGAAAGAGGGATAGTTTTGGATTTTCTTTTCAAGAGATGTTACTCTACTGCTGCTTTTCCGGGTCTGCACCAATTTATTAGTGATTTTTGTTTAAAGAACAGGTATTATTGGTGTTATCTTGGGTCTTCTTTTCAAGCAATGTTATTCTACTGTTAGATAACTGTTGATGTGGAAATTGTTTCTTCAACCCCTTAAAATGTTGCTCTAGAATTCGATTTCCCTGGGCCGCTTCATCTTTTTATCTTTCAACCTAAAGCTGAAAGTTTTCTCCTTATTCCCGTGGTCGGCTTGTAGATCTAATTTTTTTTTTCCTATCTCTCTCTCTCTTTTTTTGGCCTTTCTCCTCATCTGTGCTAATGTTCTGTATTTGATGCTGAAACAGGAGTACACATTAACCCAGCCGTGAGTTTTGGCCTTCATCTGAGCAGCTGCGGGTCAATCTTTGTTATAAGGACTTCTAGAAAGAGGACTAAAATCTACACTTCTAGCTCACGAAGAAGACAAAAAAGTCTTCTCTAGCCAAAATTAATTCAAAAGTAACTTCAATGTATGCTTAATCATTTAATTGACGAAATAAACACAAGTATTCTGAATCAGTCAACGTAAAGTAAATATCATAACTTCAGTTTAATATGACATGATGAGCTTGGAAATGATAGACATTCAATAATAGTTGGGCCTTGGGTCATACACTAAATTTGAAAGATTTCTTGTTGAGAGTTGTACCATTTTCTGTTTTGGGCTGCTCTTCCTTTGTGCTTTTTCTTCTAATACTAGAGGGGCGCGACGTCGCGTGGGAGTTCAGAGCCTATTGTTGAGGGTTGTTGGTAATTAAAGTTGAGTGAATGGCCCAAAAGATCACTAAATTATTAAAAATGGCACTTGTTGGTCGCCAAACTTTTTTTGTGGCCGAAAAGGTCACTAAACTCATAAAATCTCTCAAGTGAAGTCATTTCACCGAATTTCAGCGATTCCTCATCCGGTGGCATGGGCAATGTGGAGCGGAGGAATATAGTAAAGGGGCAAAAATGTCAAACAAAATATGGTCAACCTTTTTTTTCCTCGCAAATCGTGCCCTTAGATCTAGAAATTCGTTGAGAGACAAATCTTCTTTCATCTATTCAAGGGAAAATCTCCTTCCATTTCATCTTGTCCAATGACCCATGGCAAGACGCAATAAATCGATCCCATTCTGCAAGTATGGAACTAGAACCATTTTGAAGACCTCATGGACAGAAAGAAATCCAGTGCAAAGATATATTGAATATGGTCAAGATCAGGTAAGATAATTATTACTTAATGGATATTTGTGTTATTACAAGATGGATAAAATATAAATATTTGTTGCTGCAGGTTAGAGGGTATGGGTTTTGGGACTGGTATGATGAAGCAATTTGTGAGAGGGCTAAGCAAGTAATACCTGACCTCTTAAGAAGTAAGAACAAATTAGAAGCTGAGAATGAAACTCTGCAAAAGGAGGGTCGGGGATGGCAAAGCAAAGGAAACGAAATGACACTGGAGATAAAAAGACAATAGAAGCAATTGGAAAGAAAGCAAAGGACAAGAAAGCTAGCAAAAAGTGTTTTTGTGATTGGGGTGGTTGTTACAGTGTGGTTAATATGGATGCAGGAGCCAACAATGCCAAATTCGAAGAGGTTGCAAATTGCAAGTGTATAAAAGGAATGTTGCAAATTACTAGTTTGTAGAATGTAGATATTTTGGATTGCTGGTATGTATAATGTAATGGTACTTAATGAAGCTAGCAATTATGTTGATTTTGGATCTTTGAAAATGTTAATTATGAGTTCTGCTGTTGACTAATCAATTAATTTGACAAGAACAATAGCCCATTCCAGTGATTAAGTAGTGAACGGCAAATAAAAGAGTCATTGCATTGGATCATAGAATTGGTTGTATTACAATTGGTGGACAAAAGGAATGTCTGACTCCCACAAAATGGCAATAGAAAGTTATTACATGGTTTAGTACATCAAAAAAACTACAAATGCTATTTAACATCTTATCATTAAGTTGCACGTCCTTTTCCAAATGATCTTCCTGCCCAATTTCCAACCTTGAATGGTGGTTCTTTTCCCAAATATGCATAATTGGCATTGATCGCACCCTTTTCGGCATCCATCAATTTTTTCTTTTTTTGGACCACCCTTTTCTGTGTATTATCAGTAGATGCAGCCGAACGAGGGTCTTTTTGACTTGTTGTTGTTCTGGCAGCATCTAGTCGAATTCGCCGGACCTGATCACAAAAACCAGATAACATTTCACTCAGCTATTCCAAGAACTACAATTACAATATACAATAACAATAGTTAGAAAGGTTGATAGCTAACAGGGGTCTTCATCTTTCTGATTTGCCTCTTAGCAGTTGGACTGGCGATCGGCCTCAACATTTCTGTGGGATTATCAGTATCACCTTCTGCAGCAACATTTGCTCCTTCCATTGATTGTTGTGCACCTTCTAAAGTTGATGGCTGAACAACAATATTATCATGTTGCTGGAAAAAATTGCCAACTTCAACGTTAACATTTTCAACATTCTCTTCACCAGATCCATGCATAACACTCTCTTCCCCAGATCTGGGAACAACCCCCTCTTCACTACAATCCGGAGCTACAACTTTGTCTGGTTGGCTAGTTGCATTTTGCTGTCTTAAATGCTCAGTTCCAGCACCATCTTGAGCTTTGCATGTAGCTCGATTATGACCTGGCAAACCACACTTTCTACAATGAATAACAACATGTTTTTTCATTTTGTGGACAGTTGCATTTTGTGACCCATAGTGGTTTCTATTCTCTGTAACATCTTTTCTTCTTGCAATAGTTCCTGGAATAACACCCATCAGTATACATGCATGGATCCTCATTCATTCTATGAAGTGCTGTAATGGAATGGCAACATGGCAGCCCACTAACTTGTCATAAATTACAAGTACATGTTCTTTCTTGTACATACACAGCATATTGTTCCCCTCTAGGCCCTTTGACTTGATAACCCCCATCACCATTTGCCACAGTTTTCCATTTCCTAGACTGTTTTGCCTTTTTTCAATCAACTCCTTAATAGTTGGACCAACAGCACCAGGGCATTTTTTCATCCAAGCCGCCCCATCTCCTATTCTACCCATTAAATACTCCCTAATTCCTTCTATCATTCCAATAATAGGTAAATCCTTGTATTCTAATATTTTTGCATTAAACGTCTCACAGAGATTATTAACTAACATATCAGATTTAACATGATGAGGAAAAAATGCCTTACACCAATGCTGTGGTGGTGCTGCCCTTTTGACCCATGCATATGCAAACTGGTCATACTCTTTCAAGTCTTCAAGTTCTACCTCATACAACTCAACAGTTGTAGCTGCTGCAATGCTCTATAGTCTATCTTTTAAAACCTGTCCAGGATGTTTTTTCTTGAAATTCTTGTACATGTGTTGAATACAGAATCTGTGTTCACAGTATGGAAGAAGTTCCAAAAGTGCACTATCAAGCCCCTACAATAAAAAGGGGTGAAAAATTGGTCAACTCTAATAAACCAAACAGTAACTAATATCAACAACAATGATAAGGTAGCAGTGCTTCACCTTTTGCTGGTCCGAAATAAATGTGTAATGACTGCTGGCAGTGGCTATTTGTAAGTCTTCAATCAATAAGCTCAGGAACCAATGCCACTGCTCTCTTGCCTCCTTTTCAACAACAGCCCAAGCAATGGGCCACCATCCATTATTGGGTTCTATCCCAATGGCTGTCAACAATTGTCCCAGATAGGCTCCTTTTGTGTGACACCCATCAATTGCTATAATGGGTCTACAGCCATCATTAAACCCCTTTTTGAGAGGTCCTAAACAACAATAGAATCGGGTAAATGTAGGCCTCTCATCAGGACCACTTCTCGGATTGTATTGAATGTCAATTGTCGTATTTGGGTGGGTCCTCTGTAATTCAGCAACATATTCCCAAACAAAAGCATATTGTTCGGCTACACTTTCCTTAATATTCTTCCTAGCCTTACTCCTTGCCTTGTAAGCCATATTTCTACTAATCTCACACTTATATTGTTCATCCATAGCCTGCCCAATTTGCTTAGCTGGCATATCCATATTTAACTTTATTTGATCTTCATATCTGTTTGCCAACCAAGATATAGACAAGTGCTTGTTTTTCCATGCATGACTACAATGATTGTGAACATCATTTAAAGTCTTCAAAACAAAATCCATATTGTTAAGGCTGGAACTTTAGAAGCATACACAAACCAAGGATAGGATGCCACACATTTTGCCCTCAATCTAGATTTGTCATTTGTGTACATAAATACGGGTCTCCCAGTAAGAATCAAGTAATTCCTAATAGCTTCTCTAAACAGACCCTTACTTCTAAATTTCATACCAATCTCAAATTCAGGATTTTTCATAAATTTCTCCATATCAAAGTTAGTATAATTCACTTTTACCTCTTCGATTTCCTCGTCAGACGACCCATTATTGCTATTGACTTAAGTGGATTTTCATTGCTAGCATTGGCTGCCCGTGTTTGCTGTGTAGTTTGAAGGCCACGGTCTTCACTTTCCCGTGTAGTTTCAGGGACATTTGCATCACTTTTCCGTTTGCTGCTCAACCTAGAACTCCTCCTCAAATTTGTACTTTTTTATGCTTGAGTTCCTGCCTGGCTTGGTTGCTCACTTGGCTGCCTTTCACTATCTCCTTTGCCAACATCAATTTCACTTTCTAGCTGCCTTTCACTTGACTCAGCATGAGTTTCATGTGGTTGACCACATTGTGTTGGAGGCTGCTGCCTACTTTGTATTTCATACATTTCATCGTCCCTACAATAATCTGTGTAATGTTCAAATTCCCTCTCATCACATGTTCCATCCCCATCATCACACTCGCTTCCTTCTCCCTCATTTTCAATTCTCTCTAAGTCAATCGGTTCACCATCTCTAGAAGTTGAGTGCAAGCCTGCTGCAATTGTAGATGCATCACCTTGGTCAGTAGCTCCATGCACTACTTGTTTTTGTATAGTGTTATCCTTCCACTCTAAAGCAACAAATGATCGTGTACGGATTTTACCCTTTTTCTTCACAGATTTACTATTACATGCATTCATTGTTTGACGTTCCTCCCCATCATCAATTTCCTCAATGATCACTGTAGACTTGTGCACATCTGGTGGCTCTACGATGGTCTTTGTTTGAATTTTTATCACCTCATCTTCTGGAACATGGTCGCATATCACTTCCATCAACTTGAACTGCTCTACCCAACTACAAAACTGTCTGATATGCTCGTCAGTTTGGAGTTCTTTCAATCCATTGTTGATATCACTTCTTGGATCAAGATAATAGTACAATATGACATCGTTGTTGTAGCCACATTTTTTCACTATAGAATTAATCTCATGCATTGACATCCTATCACTATCACAAAGATCAAAATAGTCTACCTCTCCACCAACATAGCTCTTATATTTATCCCCTTCAATTCTACCACCATGCTGCATCTTAACTGAAAATAATGAGCATCCATGCTCTGCATCACAAACATCAAATAGTTGCAGGTATTGTTATTTGATAGATATCCAATCTTTTAATAAAAACTACAATCTGAAATTAGTTTTTAAGTCTTCAATACAGGTTCATTTCTAATCCCCACACAAAACCTTAATATTATACCCCAGTTAGTCAACGAATACAACAAAATTCACATTTTTTCTGCCTAATTAATTTAGCTTAATGACATGTGAATGTAGGACCCCTTGTAACCTACTATAACGACAAAAGGGAGGACCATTCTCTCCTATCCCTTTCATGCCCCCTTTGTTATATATAAAATAACCCATTCCACCCTAAAACCTCTTCGACATTTTTGCATTTCGTGGTAACATTTTCAGACTTTGCACTATCTTTTACCAACATTCTTTTTCACCAAAACAAATTTTATAGCAACTTACCATACATCGTGTACGGATCAGCATACTCATCCCTCGGTCGCTGCACCCAGTCCATTGAAATCACTAGCTTCACAATTTCCTCGGCTGCTCTTATTTTTTAGATGGGTTTAGGCTATAAATCTCGTTATTTGCTGTTTTGATTTGGTTTATAGGTGGTCACAGTGACTATTTTTACCGTCGGAGAAGACGAAGTCAATCTATGGGTTCAAAAGTGGTTTGGGAATGAGACAATCTATGGCTTCACCTGTTTCAATAACCTTTCGGACATTTTTGCCCCTTGACTATATTCCTCCATTCCCCATTGCCCATGCCACCGGATGAGGAACCACTGAAATTCGATAAAATGACCCCGCTGGAGAAATTTTGTGAGTTTAGTGACCTTTTCGGCCACAAAAAAGGTTTGGTGACCAACAGGTGCCATTTTTAATAGTTTAGTGATCTTTTGGGCCATTCACTCATTAAAGTTTGTAATATGGGAAAATGGAATCATTAGTTTATGGTAGTGAAGAAGCTTGTTGCAATCTTAAAACATTGTTGCACCAGAAAGAATTGGAAGATACAAAAAGGATGAAAAGATAAGCTGATTATTGTTGCATCAAATACTAATATTTACGAGGTCCCTCTATGATAAAACCTTTAGTAGCAGAAGTGACTTCCCCTAAAGTAGAAGCTTGAGCAGTAGATAGAGCAGAGGTAGTATATTGCATGTTTTAGTTTTTCTAGTGTCTTGAATTTGTTCATAATCTTGTAGATAGATTGAGACCTGCATAATTGCTTATTGTCAGTATACTAGACCAAAAGATAGAAGTAAGCTTGAGCAGTAGAAGTTTGAGTAGCAGATGTTTTGGTTTTTTGTTTGAGGATTGCCTTCTAAATTATCATAACATATGTGAGATTAATTTAATTGACTTTAGTAGTTAAAATGTGGAATACTTACGATGGTATGATGGTGGTTTGCCTTTGGGAATTGCTGTGGCAGGGTCGATATCATTTAACTCGGTGATTGTATTGGCATCTTTGGATTGTTGCTCACTCCAGAGAGTTAGTATAAATGGTCAGCATCTATTAATGTAGTCATTCATGAAAATACATTTGTATAGTGTTTTTTTTTTTTTTTGTAGGTGATAGTTTAACCTTTGATCGACAACTACTGCTTGTCTAATATGTGGCTGAATGCGAAGTGCACATCTCGTTAGATCTAAGGATATAAACCTCACAGGTAGTTCGACTGGTTTCATAGTCTGGTAGTTATTAGCAAGTTTCGTGATCGATCCCGTATACTACTTTGTTGTGTATCTTTGGAGTAAGGCTCTATACAATTTTAGGAGATTAGTCTGATCGAAAGGTTGGGATACCTCAAGTGAAAAAAAAAATCTGAGGATATAAATTTTTTGTTAGTGCAATTCTATGGTAGTAAACGAAAACAGTTGTAATGAATGGTCTTTCAACTTCTTGCAATTCTTGGATTGTTGTGGAGTTGTTAATTGTCGACCATTGCATGTTAGATAACAAACTCAACTTTAAAAAAAAATAAAAATAAATCATCTTTCTTATCATGGAAAATCTCAATTTCAGAATTAAGGACATACAAATCAAACCAATTTCTCATAATCAATAGTACTCAAGAGCTGGTACCTTATTCTAAAGACACCTAATAAACCGTTTTCTGACACTTTCTCCAAATCTATTAAAGCAAAATCCTATTATACAAAGTAAACAAAACTCTAACAAACAATAAGTAAATCCACGAAATCCTTATGCATATATATAACATACTCTCCCAAAACTTCCCCTAAAAAGGAGAAAAAAAAAAGTCCTAATCCACAAGATAAGCTAAGACATTATTTGGTTGTCCAATTAGGTAGCTTGGATTGTGAATTAAAGTGCTTTTCCACTGAGAGAATACTTAGCAAAATTAACCAACGATAAATTCAAGGTATTAAACTTATTAGCGAATTGGGGTGGTCAGAATTGAAGAATTAGTTTCCTTTATCTAAGAGTCAATTGGCCAATCGTACCAATTGATCCTTGTTGATAGGTAACTAACCAAAAACAAACCAATTCAATTCAGCGCTAATTATTGTTCTTGCCACCCAAATCGATTCAATTCACAATGAAACCATCCAATGGACAACAAGAACCATTAGTACGTATGAATTCTTTTGTTTGATTGTAAAAAACACGAAAAACAAACCAAAAAGCAAACACACTTCAAGCTGAACCACCAAGAATAGTTGGGCCCAAAAACCATTTCAAAATGCAGAGACTGACCACAACAAATATCAGCATTGAAGACAAAAAGAGCATAACAGAAAGAAGAGGAAGAAAATACAATTGGACAGGGTTTAGAAATGGCTGAAACCAATTGCTCAAACATTAAAAACCACTTTAACAACAACTATTAGAACCTCCTCCTTTTCAAGCTTTTTTAAGGCCTTTAATGGGCATTTAAGGAAACACACCAAACATAAGGTTCGCATGATGTGTACCCACTATTGAAAAGATGATTAAAGTATGCTCACGTATTTAAAATGCCCCTAAGCTAAAAATAATGTAGAAGTATTTACGAAACAACAACAAAGCTAACGTTACCCAATATTGTACCTAAAAGTGAACCTTCACTCCAAATAATCTCATATTTCCAAAGTACCTCCATTTATACGGTTAAAATTCAAAACCCCTTTTTGATCAAAACTCATTCTTATATAATATAAGGAAATGTCGTTTGGTTGATACTTTTGTAATGTGTAATAATATTTATGTTTCCTTTTTGAACAAAAGATACTTTTGATGAGCTGTGTGGACAAATTTTACTTCAATTTGCTGCAGCGGTTAGCTTGGAAAATATTTATGAATTTAACATGTCAATGTCTTTTTGAGATAATTTTAGAAACCTCCCTTAAGTTTTCTAACAATTTCATTAACTTTATTAACTTTTCCTGAGGTTTCGAAAATTACACTGACCCCTCTTGAACTTAAAGTTTTGGTAACAAAATCGGTCTAAGCAAAAAAAAAAGTACTATTAAAAAATATTTTGAGTAGTAAGAAGATAATTCTATTCTATATATGCCTTTTTTTTATTGTTCACAAGTTGTATTAGTGAAGAATGGAACAAATCATAAAAGTCAGGAGTAATAAGTGAAATTCG